ACAGATCACCAGGACCCCACTGCCCTCTCTGCAGAGCATTTACCACCGCAGGGTGCTTAGGAAAGCTGCCTCCATCCTCAAGGACCCCACCCACCCCCAGCATGGACAGTTCATACCTCTGCCCTTCGGTCGAACGCTCAGAAGTGTGAAATCCTGCATTTCTCCTCCAGTCCTCTAAACTGAAAAACTCTTTCTTTCCGACTTTCCTTCAGACTCCTAAACAGCTGGCTCAGGATCTACCTCATGTAATTTCATCTGTACTGTTTACATACTCATTTTGCACATGTATAGTTGCACACTCACTGCTGAGTATTTGCACTCCACGGCGCCCACATAGCATATATTTTTTTGCATTATATTGTGTTTTTGTTGTATTTTTATTTGCTTCCTTCACTTGCTGCTTTAAAGTGCCTTAGATTTGTGACTTTACTGCCTATTTAGATTTGTGTTATTGCTCATCTACTTTATATTTCACTTGTTTTATGTGGCTTTCATGTGGACAGAAAAGTAAGAATTTTATTGTACAGGGAAACATGTTTTTTAACTGTGCATGAAAGTCACTTTTGGCTTTTCCCGTTTAGGGGTCACCTGCTGTGCAAACCTACGTGAAGCCTATATTCACTGTGTGCTTACTCATCTGATAACCTGTTAAGAGAAAGCCTGTTACCCACCTGTTACTCACATGTTTAGCCTATAGAAAAAGTATCTATTCTTACTTGTCCAACCTACTAGAGTTTCATTTAGTTCAGGCTGTCATACGTAAGTAATTGTGATTTATTTTATGTTGTTATTTTATCCTAGCTACTTACCTGAGTGTCTGGTGGTTACCTGACCCTGCTCTTTGTACTCATTGCATGCTGACCTCCATTTTGTGTTTGCTTTCTTCATTTAAATGTTTCACCATTAAATCAGTACTAAACTATCTCACAACAAGTCCATCCATCTCAGGGAACCATACATGAGATGACATTACATTTATCAAATACATCTTGAAAGTCTTTCCTCCTCTAATGCTGAAAGGGAAAATGTTTAAAAATTCAAAAAAGGTGCACAGCCAGATAAAATTATGTTAGATTTTTATTTTATTTTATTCCACTTAAAATACTATAGGAAGCTCTACAATGCCATCATGTTATTATACCATCCATTGTTTGTTTTTTTTAACAAATTGTCAAGGTTTTCCATTCAAGTTTTTACATAAACAAATTTCCCAAAAAGAATACATGTGAATAAATATGCCGCAGTTCTAATTCAAAAAGATAAAATGCCAAAGGTCATAGTATCACCTCAGGTACTGCCGACTGTTTTTCTCAGCAGTTCTACAGTATTATTCATCTTTTGTTTGGTTTACTTAGTCTAGGCCTTTTCCCAGAGGAAAACAATTGCACAGCAACATTTTAAATCCAGTCTATCACAGTATGCCACAACAACTGACTGGGAAAAATAAAGATGTGAAAACAGTTCAGCTGGATTCCAACTGCAGTGCATTTTATTAAAATATATTACAGTGACAACAATTTATTCACAAGGCCTGAGAAAGTGTAGCAATGAAAGCATTGCCACACATTATTATGTGCATTATTTACTTGGCATATTAAAATATATAAACATTAATATACACAGACATATTTTTAAGAAAATGTATAGGCCTAAGGTAAAATTATTCAAATGCCACCTATGTTACTTAAAAGCATTTGCAGACAGCTCCATAGCATTTTGAAAACCTGAATTGTTCTGACCAGTCTCTCTCTCCATGTGTCTCCTTTTCACATTTTTGCAGGATAAAAGATCCGACAAATGTTTTCGTAACTTCTGTGAGAGCACATACAGCAGAGGGTTCATACAGCAGTGAGAAAAAGCAAGTATCCGACAAACATTATAAGCAGTTTCCATGCGTTCTTCTGCTTTACAGCTTTGGGGTTCATAAAAATTCTCAATGAAAAGAAACATATTGTAAGGTCCCCAACAGATGAAGAAAGCTGAAACAATACATAATATCACAACTACAGTCCTGTATCTTCTTCTGTTTGAAGCCTGCAAAACTGTCTTGAGGATGGCAGAATAGCAGAAAACAATGATGGCAAATGGGAGGAAAAAGAGCAGTGTCACTTGGAGATAATATCCAACCCTGTCACCATGGGAATCGATGGAAGCCTCACACGTGGTAATATTATCCATGTTAGTTTCCACCTGTACATTGATAGCATTACTCAGGGATGCAGCAATGCTGATGACCCAGGCGCCTGCACAGGCACCTATTGTGTACCTCTGCCTCGTTAACCAGGTACTGGACCAGTTGTACAGTACCACTGTTATGAAACGATCCACGGTCATAGCAGTCAGTAGAATAACACTGCTGTACACACCAACAAAGTATGCTGCAGTTACAAATTTGCAGAAGAAGTCCCCAAAGACCCAGTGATGCAGGTAATAGATGGCCCAGAATGGAAGCGTGAGAGTGAAGGCCAAATCAGAGCAGATAAGGTTGAAAATGAACAGATTTGTGGCATTTTTCAGGTTCTCGTAAAAAACAAGAACACATAATAGGAGACCGTTGCCTGTGATACTGAAGATGAAGATCAAGATGAAGAAGAAACCGTTGATGGTTGTAAAATCAAATATCTCATCGCATAAATATTCCAGGGTGTCATGCCAAACTCCATCACTCAATGTGAAGTTATCTGCCATCGTAGATTTTCCAGGAAACAGGAGAACAAAACTAAAATTGACAAAATGTAATTAAGACTCAGAAAATCTCTATAACCTTTCAGCAATTTGTGATTAACTAAAAAAAAAATCCATGTGTATTCTCTAAAGCACGAAGACTTATTAGGAAATAAATATGGAAGGCAATTACAGTAAATACTGAGTAACTTACCCCAACTATCAGCTGATACGTCTGAATGGTGAAGGAAACAGAGTGGTATAAAAAATGAACTCACTGTTCCTCTTTTTTTTGTTTCACACTGAGTAACTTACCCCAATTATCAGCTGGTACGTCTGAATGGTGAAGGAAACAGAGTGGTATAGAAGAATGAACTCACTGGTCCTCTTTTTTCACACTTAGTCATAAATGCTGAATCAATATTTCAGTTTAACTAGTCTGAATTCAAGTAAAAAAGATATCCTGATTCTTATGACATTGCTTGTAAACAGTATGAAGCTTATTTACTATTCAGAACAGAGACACTCCAGAATTTAAATTGTGCAGTTTATTTATTTTTTTTATTTTAAAGCACGGAAATAACGACTGGAAGGGTAAGGTAAGTTTATTGATATAGCACATTTTCATACACAAAGGAAATTCACACGCTTAACACACTGCACACATTGCAGGCAAATAAACAAAACATTAAAATGCTAATTAGATTAAAACATTAAATGCAAATGTAAAGCAGCAATTACAGGACAAAGTAGCAACATACAAGTGTACAGTAGAGACCTAGAACTTTTAGGAAGCTGTGGGAGACTGTGGATTCACATTATACTTTGTACCCCGTTACTTCAGTCTTCCCTGTGATGATGACTGTGATGATATGTGAAAATAAACACCATTACAAATAAATTCCAAAAGATCAAAAGCAAAATATTTTCATGTTTCGCTTGCATAACTCCTGAAACTGAAGGCAAAAATATAAAATACAGTAAGTGATCAAAATAGATACTGATTGATGAACATGTAAAATAAAATGCAGTCCATCAGAGTGAATCACAGAATACAGGTAAATTATTTGACTAGAAAGTAGATAATCACATTTAAATACAAGGTAAAATCATGGGTGGAACACTGTACATTACATATCACAACTAATATATTTATCCACTCAGTGACCACTTTATTAGGTACAGCTTTCTAAAACTGTGTTGTACTCCCTTTGTTCACATAACATCCTGAATTTTTCATGGCAGGGCTTCAACAAATGTACTGGAAATATGTTGACATGATAGCAGTCACATACCATAGTTGCTACAGATTTGTTGGCTGCACATTCATGCTGGAAATCTTTCGTTCCACTGAATCCCAAATGTGCCCTATCGGAATGAGTTCTGACTGTGGCAGCCAATGGAGTACTCAGGTGGGTTGTGGAATTTAAACTGTAGTCACTTGCTATTAAGGTGGCTAAGGTATGCCAATAAAATATTCCTCACACCACTACTGAACACCATAACTGGCAGCCTGATCTGCTGACATGAGGAAGAACAGATCCATGTTGTTTATGTGACCCTACCATCTGCATGCTGCAATGTGTGTCTCTCTAGACTGTCATGTGTGTATTAGGCTTGTGTTTGTTAAAGGCCATTAAAAATAGAAATACTGAATAGTCAATGAAATTATCTTTTGAAAAATTACCATCCTTATTTAAATATATGTAATAAACCACATAATTCACTGTTACAAGCCTAGATCTTTTGTTCTTCTATGTTATGCCAGGGCCATTGTGAATAAGATTTGCTTTCTGGTTTCACTTCTGTTCTCTATATCAGCTACATCGAGAACTCCTCCCCACTTGTTAGTGATGTGATTGTGAGTCGGTTTTGTCTGCTGCGGATGGGGATATCGTTATGGCCCCAGCTCTTAAGCATTTTTTTTATGTGGTTTTTGAATTTAACCCCCACAAAGACGTAAAACACAGGGTTGAGGCAGCAGTGGGAAAAGGCAAGAAGTCGGCTAAGTTGAAGAGCATAATCCAGTATTTTGTATGATTCACAGTCTTCAGCCATTTCCTTAGAGGAAGCAGGTGGTTGGGGCCAAAAATAAAATGACTGTAGAAATATTACTATATTGTAAGGTCCCCAACCCACAAAGAAAACAACTATGAGAGTGAAAATTAGTTTTAAAGTTTTGTTTTTTCTTCTTTGGGCAGTAGGGCGCAGCAACCTGCATATGATCTGAGAATAGCAAAAAATGAATACCATAGAACTCAGTACAAAGAGAACATTTTGCTGGTAGATTCCCCATAAGGACCAGAAAGAAGTCCTAAACTCACAGTGATTCTGGCCCTGGACTGTGGTGAAGATGAAAGTTGGACTGGCAACCATAATACTCACTGCCCAAATAATCACAGATACTAGTACACTGGTGAAGCCTGTGGTTGACACAATGTTGGACAGAGGATTCACGACAGCTACATAACGATGAGCGGTCATCAGGATGAGGAGGATACCGCTGCTGTAGAAGCCGATGTAGAAGAGAAAGTTGACTATTTTGCATGCATTCTCCCCTAAAGTCCATCCATACATGTGGTAGTAGGCCCAGAAGGGCAGACCAGTGGTGAATAAGAGATCAGATACAGCCAGGTTTAGGATGAAGGCGTTGGTGAGGGATCGGAGATTCTCATACTTGGCCAGAATCACAATGACCAGGATGTTGCCAAACAAACTGAGGATCACCACAATGGGGAAGAACACTGGAGTAAAGATTGCTCCAAATTGTGTGACGCTTGTTGTGTTGCACACTTGACTTTCGTAGTCATAGTCATAGTCATAATAATCTATAGATGTGTTGAGTGTTGAGTGAAGGACGAAGCTTGTAGTAGTTGGGATATTTTCAGCTGTTGCCATTTTCCTTCAGCAAGAATAAAAAAATCTAAATGTTAAAATTGTTCAGTTGTTCAAAGGATAAATCAAACTGGTGAAAGTACACGGACTGATGTTACAGTAGTGGATGAGATGATTAAATTGTCCTGTAAAAATGTTTTCCTTAAAAATTCCTGTGATAATGTCATAATTCTCTTGATACATGATTTTAGACAGCTTACTCAAATTACAAAAAATATATTGTGTAACAAAGGAAAATATAAATCCACAAGATCTGAAACAACATTTCTATGCTTTTTATGTTACTATTATGTCTTAAAATATACAATGTACCCTTTACAGTAAATAATTAAAACTCTATCAACTTTGGCAGAAAATTGTTTGTTCTTGTACAATGTCAATACTTAAAACATAAAAATGATGGACAAACTACATTGTCAGACATTTTAGACAATTCTACATCGATAAAAGATGTGTTCCCATTATGTTGGCTAATCAATCAAGCTAAAAAAAAGCTGCCCTTTATTTTTAAAGCTGGTCAAATATAAACAAAAACTAAATGACTAGAAGCCATAGGTAAAGAACAAAATATATTTGTGAATTTACAGCTCTTAATAATGAAGAGAGACATGTTTTTAAATATCTTATTTTCTGTGTAAAATGAACAACAAAAAAAATGCTTACCTGTTTGCTTATTATATTTACATGATCAGTTTGCAAAGAAAAAGAATGCCAGTCATCTACAAAACATGTTCAGATTATATATATAAAGTACAAAACACTACTCACTTTAGTTTTAGTGAGACACCCCAACTATAACAAATAAATGAGAAATGTGGACATGTACTGGACATGTACTGTACCTGCAGTAAGGATGTGCACACACCAAAGTCGTACATCCAAAGATCAGTGAAAACTGGGGTCTGTTTTAAGTATCAGCCAAAAAAGATGAACCGAAACAAATAATCATTTTCAAAACTCCCATGCACACACTGACTATAGGTCAACATGATTTAATATACACTGCTCAAAAAAATAAAGGGAACACAAAAATAAGACATCCTAGATTTGAATGAATGAAATATTCTTATTAAATACCTTGTTCATTACATAGTTGAATGTGCTGACAACAAAATCACACAGAAATTATCAATAGAAATCAAATTTAGCAACCCATGGAGGTCTGGATCTGGAGTGACACCCAAAATTAAAGTGGAAAACAACACTACAGGCTGATCCAACTTTGATGTAATGTCCTCAAAACAAGTCAAAATGAGGTTCAGTAGTGTGTGTGGCCTCCACGTGCCCGTATGACCTCCCTACAACACCTGGGCATGCTCCTGATGAGGTGGCGGATGGTCTCCTGAGGGATCTCCTCCCACACCTGGACTAAAGCATCCCCCAACTCCTGGACAGTCTGTGGTGCAACGTGGCATTGGTGAATGGAGCGAGACATGATGTCCCAGATGTGCTCAATTGGATTCAGG